TGGCTGATAAGAGAAGAATTTTGGAAGACAAGGAATATCCGGCATGATAATGATCCAAAACCACACTGGCAAAATCACACAAGAGTTTCTAAAAAAACAAAAAACAAAGTGGAAACTGTGACCTGGCCCAGTATTCCCCCAGGAATCTAGTAGAACACCTTTAAGATATTTTAAAGAGAAAGGCGAAGCAACACAACCCCTCCAGCAAAGAGCACCTGAAAAAAAAAAAAAAAATTTCTGAATTTTTAGAGATTAGTATTTTTAATATAGTAAATCTAAACAGTTTTAGTATTATATAAGACAAATACTGTGCTGTTCAATGTAGAAATATTACAATTATTTATAGGCACATTCTCTTACAAAATCATCACTCTCGATTTTAAATCATACACACAAACAAATGATACAATGAACTACCTGTTATACCTTGTAAAGTGTTAAAACTTTTGATTTTATAAGGTTATTTTTTATTTTTTTTAAATTTAAGAAGCAAAGTCTTAAACTCTTTGCAACAATGGCTCCATCTAGCGGAGCTTTGTTATAAAATCTTCAGGAATTCTGGGCACATGCAGGAAAAATTCAAAAGTTGTTAAATATTTGTACACCAGTCTCTCAACTATAATACTTCCATCCATCCATCATCTATACACCTTAATCCTCACTGGGGTTGCAGGGGGGTTGGAGCCTATCCCAGCTGACTCAGGGTGAAGGCAGGTTCACCTGGACAGTTAACCAGTCTATCACAGGGCTACACAGAGAGACAATCAAGCACACTCACATTCACACCTACGAACAATTTAGAATCACCAGCTAACCTCAAAATGTTTTTGGACTGTGGGAGGAAGCCAGAGAACCTTGAGAGAACCACGCTGCACAGGGAGACCATGGAGACTCCACACAGAAAGATCCCAGGCGTCCTAACCAGGACGCAGACTGGGAATCTTCTGGCTGTGAGATGACGAAGCTAACCACCGAGGCACCAAGCAGCCCACTATAATACTTATTTTATACCAACCTCCTCAATAGACTACAATACATCCAAAACTCTGCCGCCCGCCTCCTCACCCACACCTGCTCCCGAGACTCACATCACCCCTGTCCTTCAAAACCTTCACTGGCTTCCCATCCCATACTGCACCACATTCAAAATCCATGTACCCTCCGCTCTGCTAATTCCAACCTCTTGATCGTTCCCAGGACCAAGCACCGAACCTGGGGGGATTGGGCTGTTTCTGTCACCGCCCCCACCCTCTGGAACTCTCTCCCACAACATATTCGTGACACTACAGACCCAGTAATATTCAAATCTAAATTAAAAACTCACTGTTCTGCTCTGCTTTTCCCACCTAGGCCTTTATCTTGATATTTAGTGTTGTTTTTATCTGCTTGCTGTATTTCTATGTTGTCTACTTTTGTATTAGTTGCTTGTTGTTTATTGCTTTTATTACTTTCATTGCTTTTATTCTGTGAAGCGTCTTTGAGTTCTTGGAAAGCTATATAAATAAAACGAATTATTATTATTATTTATTATTATTGTTGTTGTTATCGTCATTATTGTTGTTATTGTTATTGTTGTTGTTGTTGTTGTTATTGTTATTATTATTATTTTATGTAAAAATGGTGACAGAATACATTTGAACCACCTGTTCACTAGCAAGTGCCACACCATCAGTGAGCTGCCCATAATTGTTTATTAAGTCAGAATAAGTGTAATGCTGATTGCAGGTAAGGTAACCACGGTGTGGGGAAGGCTTCGTTAAGGATCAGTAGCAGCTCTCGGGCTGGCAGATTCCCATAAAGCCCCCTTAGGAAGGAGAGCAGACTGAGCAATGCACAGATTTTGACTGTTGGAGCAGATATAAAGTTAGTTAGCTACTTAGTCACATGAAGAACTTGTACGGGCTCAGGGAATCTGATTTGAAACACAAGCAAAGATCCGATCGCCATCTCGGTCAGTTTGCTTCGCTTGAGTGAATAATTCAGGTAGCCGTTGGAGACACAGTAGCTGTTGCATATGGTAGGATGGTGATATGGATAATTTAATGGATGTTATATTGGTTTCTGCAATGAGCAAAATTAAGAAGTTAGCAAGATGCTGATTTCATCATTTGTGTCAGATTGATGATTAATGAGCATGTCGATGATAGGGTTAATTTGTGGTGTGCAAGGTAAGATTCAGGGTGGTTCTTTGATTAGCTTTAAAACTGGTAAGTCAGCACCAACTGGAGGTGGTTGCTGGGTGGAATAGCAGAATAATGGGAGACAGGTATGGAGGTGTGGAAATGTTGAAATGAGGAAATGAAGGAATGGAGAACTGGTATCCCGGTGCAGAGGCGAGAGGTTGTTGAGATGAGGGGACAGAAGAAAGGCAGGGAAATGGATGGAGCACAGAATTGTGAACCGATGTTGGTTAAAGTCAGGAACAGAATAAGAGCTAAGATTGTAAAAATAGGGGATAGAAGCAAATGAAACTGACACCTTGGTATGAGAAACAAGAGTGGGAAGTTGTTGTGGGTAGTAGAGGTGAGACCAAGTGACATCCTGGTGGAGGAAATGAGAGCAGAAGATTGTTGGATGTGGATGGTACAGGTAAGGGGAAACTGGCATCCCAGCGCAACAATGAGAGCCGAAGACTGTCAAAATAGGGATAGAAGCAAGTGAAACTGGCTTCCTGGTGCCAAAAACAAGAGCAGGAGATTGTTGATGTGGATGGTAGAGATGAGACCTACTGGCATCCCGGTGCTGGAAAAGAAAGCAGTAGGACGGTTGGAGTAAAGAGGATCTGGCATCCCGATGCTTATAAGAAGGGTTGTGAGGGTTAGAGGTTAATGTGGTGTTAGAAGTTAGTCAACATGATAGGACTGGTGACTGATGTGGGTGATATGGGTATGAGAAACTGGCATTGCGGTCCCAGGAATAAGAGGGGTAGCAGTAGTGATGCAGTACAGTGAAGATGATTGTAGGAGGAAGATCTGCTTTAAATTAGTCTTTTTTTTTTTTTTGAAAGGTACATGAAATAGTACATGTGGTGGCTGGGTGACTTAATGAACCATGTATGTGAAATGTTAAAGCTGAACGTGTGGCAAAGGTTCAACAGTAGAACTAATGGTTGAAATGCCCTCGGAGTAATCAAGTGGGACTGTGTGAGCACAAGATTCCATTGCCCATTACATGTTAAATTACATGAAAGATTGCTTTAATATAACCGCAAATAATTATCTGCTATGTAAAGAGATAGTGAAATAATGATGTCCTCAGCAGAGATGAAGTTCCATGGCCTCTGTGTGCTGTAATCTGAGATACTGGGTTCTATGTTTTGGCAACTGCCCGGCTGTGTGTACATGTTAACAGCATCGACTGTATAAAAAGATGAGATGCTGGTGCTGTGCTATGCAAATTATGCAGGGTAGATATTTTTGATTCATTTGATCCACTTCATATTTTATACACACATTAGGTTACAGCACCTTATAGTAACATTTATTAATGTAGTTCAACAGTCTTCAGTATGCCCTGGCCCAAGATCATGCAAATCTAATGACTCCTGGTTAAAGGAGCAAACTTTCCTCATCATTTGACAGTCAAATCTGTACTGATTGGCAGTCAGTATGTAAACTTAAATATAATTTATTAACTTGAAAGACCCATTCGATAAAAGCCTTTATTTTGAAAAAAATAAATCTTGTTAAATGTCCGTATGACCTTTTCATATGATAGAACACACATCATGAGCAAAATAAACAGGCAACACAATGGCTGAGCATATCTACCTTGAAACTGCAGTGCACTTGAAATAAACTCAAAAACACAGTTTCAGACCTCCATGGTCTCATAAGTAACAGACCTAAATTACCAATCCTGTCAGCTTTGAGGGATGAGCTTACTGTATCATTATTCATTAAACAGAACTGATTTTCAGTAGCACAGAGTAGTTAGAAGTGTCTGAGCGCAGTCATAGTAGAGCTGGTGTGCTCAAGCTTAAGCAGGTGAGAAAAGGATGCACATTCATTCAAGAAGCAACAGTGAAGTTACAACAGTTTACAGCAGGAAAAGATCATTGTCATTAAAAAAACTTCTACATGTGTAACTTTGACACAGAGATTAATTTTTAGAGGCTAAATCCATAACTGGAGAGACACTTTAATTTGTCAGTGTGTTGTAGACATAGTAAACGTGATGTTGGTGAATTAAATGGTTTTCCATATTGTGAACACTTTTCCATGCGTGTCTTCCCCTTCAACCCTTCAGGTCTGCCCATTTGCACACCAACGGTATATTAGTGAACAGCCTGCTCTACCATCTGAGTCATGGCCACCTGTAGTTTTAGTTTAAACTGCACACATTGTGTTCTGTGGATTGTCCAGAGTGACAACAGCGGTTTCTGCTGTTTCAGCAAAATGTCTTTAATGTCCATTGTATTGGTGCTATTCTAAAGTTAGAGCTCAAATTAAATCTAGGCTAAATGTCTAAATATCCAGATACTACTTAGGTGAAGTCAAAGCATTCTCATTTTTATTTTATTTGTATGCTGTTTACCTTTTACTAATTGGGATGACGCAACATGGTCAATAAACTGGCAGAAAAAAACGTTCACCTGCATCACAGTGAAGAACTAAAGGACAATAATGCAATCCTCTAATTATACAGGCCTTTACCCAAACACACTGCAGTAGGAAATCATTTGTTGTGATTATCATCTGCATTTAATTGATGGTTCAGAAAACACTGAAATTCCTGTCATCAATAGAAATAGACATATCTTTGCATTGAACTAAACTATCTACAGTAGCTTTAAGGCTGAGTTTATTAAACTGTTTCCATAGGCTGACTGTTGCCTTATTTTTATTTGCTTCAGTGCTTAGATCAGTTCATGCTTGGTTTAATGCCACTACTGCAAATCATTGTATTTAACGAGCAAAACTGAAAACTCTAATGATCTACTTAATATGCCCCCCAAAGTGTCCCGACAAAACTATATTTTTACAATAAAATGTACAGTTCTGAAGGCGCTCGTCCTGAGCTCGGCGCCGTGACCTGGCTGTTTGCTGTGCAAGGAAACATCATGGTTTCTAAGGCTGCAAACAATCCCAGTGACACGTCACAAAATCAGTGGAGTTCCCCGCTGTGTGTGTGTAATATGCGCGCAGTCCCTCTCAGTGTACAGGTCCTATGGATCTGCTGCTGTGTGATGCAGCTGCTGTTAAAGAAAAGAAAGTTCAAAGACATTCTACTTTTGCTTGTTGAGCGCTGTCTGATGAAGGCTCTTTACAGTTGGATGTGACTTGGTGATGCTGTGATACTGAAAAAGATTAAGCTGAGTTCCATCACAGCGTGATTTGGATATTCTAGTCCAGTTCCAATTTCAGTGATTGTCTGCTATAAACTGCATGTGCGCTTTATGTTTGAGCTGCATTGTTCGCTTTCTAAACATCTGTAGCTACATTTATCTGGATCAAACTGTCATGTAAATACACAGAACTGTATGTCTGTGGTAACAACAAAAAATAATCTTTGTGACGTTTCTTGTGACCATATAATAAAGACCAAAAAATGTTTGCAGCTTAATCAGGGTTAACATATAGGACAGTTATAGGGAATACCAGAGTAGTGTCAGATGTGTCTGCTGCATGCGTCTGGTGTGTCTAACATCCTTGCTTAGACTGTAATTATCATGAATTACGGATGGGTTTTACATGTGGACAAAGAAATCATCTTGTTTGCAATTATCATAATGGCTATGATCTTTAAAACATAACCCTCACGAATAAATACAATTATACTATTAATATTATGATGCTATATTAACATTTCAGTCACACTTTATGTGCAGCAGTCTCTTTTTGACAAGTGAGGAGCTGCAATAAATGAGTTAGATCGGTCACAAACAAAAAAAGAGTTGGTCATAATCAAGGGCACAAATCAGGTAAAATAAGGACGTGAAGACATGGGCATGGTTGTTTCCATGGTCGTCAGGCAGCTTTGCGCACACGATCACTTTTTGGCTCAACAGCTGTCTGCAGTCCAAGCGAAAGACTTCAACTTTAAAGCCCAATATCACGGAAAGCCGATCGGACTTTAAACCTCTTTATATTATGTGCACGGAGAAGCGAGCTGTGTGTTATTTTCAGATGGCAATCATTGCTTTCTGTCCCGTAGTTCCTGAATACAGCTGGATAGCGGAACAATTTTTCCGATCTTCATCCGAAGCCATACGAGCGTTTCCGAAACGTAACTCGTGGTCTAATTTCATTGGCGAATCGCTCGTCCAATCAGGCGCGGCCATCTGTGCAGCGCTCGGCGCCGTTGAAATTCTCCGGTTACGTTTCCATCAGCTTCAGTAGCTGCCTGAGCTCGGACCAGTGCTCCGTACGTCCCGCCACCGGACCGAAGCTGCCAAAATGAAGCTTCCAGCGGCCGTTCTTGCACTTTTGGCCTCGATAGCTTTTACCACTGACGCTGCGGTCTACTTTAAGGAGCAGTTCCTGGATGGAGGTGCAGTATTTGTGCAGTTTCTGACCTCTTGTCCTAGATAATATATGCATGACTGTGTGAAGAAAGTGGCTGCCTGAGCGGCGTTGAATAGGAGGCCTATCACTTGTTCATTTCCTTAAGGCCAACTTAATATCTGGCCATTAAGAAGGACGTTACTACTAAAATAAGCTTCCTGCACCGATTCAAGCCATTATAACAACGCTAGGCCTCGTTGTGTCTCTTAGGCAGTGTTAGGGTGAGGTTGTTAGCTAAAGTAGCCTAATACAGCAGGAAAGTGTATAGAAAATGTTCTTATATTAGTTTTAGGATGTAACTTGTCTGAATTCATTCAATCAATGTGAATGCGATCGAATGTGACTTCGAGCGTTTGCATCCTTGTCTGAATATAATTTCACTTTTGATTTGACAAACCCTATCTGAGTTATTCAGGTCAGTCCAGTTTCACTGCGGCGCTGCTGTCACGCTTTTGATGGTTAAAAAACTCTTACTTTGTGCTCTCGGTGAGCATCAGCAGTGGGAATAAAAAAGAACAACTTCGATAAAAATGTTTTAAAAAGCATCCAATTAACTGTTAAGACACGATTTGAGTAATACAAACGTTTAAAATAGAGAGTGAACCACAGTTGGTGGCGGAAAAGTTGTAAATGACGCTCCCTCCTCACCAAATCCCCTGTTCTCCACATTTACACTTCTATTAGGAAGTCGTCTAATGGAGGTGTTTTTCTCCTAATACACTGCACCAGTTCCAAGTATGTAGGGAGGAGCAGTAAAGTAAATATCTAATGTAGTCTGGTGATCTGGTGTTCCCAGCAGGAGTAACCAGGTGAGTTGCTGTCTTTCAGATGGATGGAAGAGCCGTTGGCTCGAGTCGAAGCACAAGTCAGACTACGGCCAGTGGAAACTGAGTGCTGGAAAGTTCTATGGAGATGCTGAGGCTGATAAAGGTAATTCTTCTATATTTTATCAGAGATAAAAATGGATTTGCATTAAGTTGGTTCTCTAGCATGTCTCAGATTGTTCCAGAAGGTGACCTCTCATGCAAATGCATGTAAAACAGGCTTGTTTGTATGAAGTGTCCCCAGTACAACTACCTCAAAGGCAAGAACACTCAAGATTATTTCCAGGACTGGAATATCCTGCTCTGGAACTTCAAGCTGCCACTGAGCCCTTACCAACACCCCCAACTCTCATTGCACTGAATACAATTTTGCATTGATTGTACTCAAATGAATTGAGAAATATTTTAAATGAAACTGCATTTTTGACACAAAAACTCTCTTCAAGACAAAATTTCATCCATTCCACTAAAAGTCTACTGCAATCATGCCAGTTGATAGTGTACTGCAGGGACTACAGTTCCCAAAGCACATTTTTATTAAAATTGCACAAACCAGTTTATACACAGTAAGGCTGGTGATATACTTCCTGTGTCCTTAAGTGAGCCTACACGGATCCCTCTGCACACATTCCTGTGTTTGTGTAGACCGTCATCATGGTAGCTACACTGCAGAGCAATAGTGAGTATGCATGGAATATGTAGATACGGCATGCTGCACATGTACAGCATAGAGTTCTCCTCAGGGTAAAATTCACAGACACAGATTGTTCTTTTCCTATTTTCCATTGGCTTTTTAAAACTTTTACCCCAGGTGTTGTCACATCTTCTTCTGATGATTCATTATGACAGTGTAGTGTTTGTCCATGATTTATTGCATAAGTTTGTGCTGTAAAGTTTGACATTTTTACATGTGGGTCATTGGGAATTAACTCACTTTTGGAACCAGCCTCAAGTGGCCATTTAAGAAACTGCAGTTTTTGACACTTGTGTGTTGCCTTTGTTTTTCAGCCCTGGAGGTTTCTGTATGAAATTGCCCCTTGAGGGTAATAAAGTTTTACTATAGTCTACTCACTTAATTGCAGTTGTCAGATTTGTACAGCTTGTCAGTCCAGGTTTGGTTAAATGCCATACAAATTTGTTTTGTCCCTTTTGATAGTAATGGCAAATCTTTTCCTAAGGAAACCTTGTCAAGAAGAAAATAATGCAGAGTCACAAACAAAAGTCATGGATTTGTGTCCTCCTTGCTAACAGCCGTTCATTTCTGTTTTCATATCTACACCTGCACCAGGTCTCCAGACCAGCCAGGATGCCCGCTTTTATGCCCTGTCAGCCCGCTTTGATCCCTTCAGCAATGAAGGAAAGCCCGTGGTCATCCAGTTCACTGTCAAACATGAACAGAAGATTGACTGTGGAGGCGGCTATGTCAAGATCTTCCCCTCTGACCTCGACCAGAGCGACATGCATGGAGATTCACAATATTACATAATGTTCGGTGAGTCATGTTTGCCCGGTAGAGGCACTGTGGCCTAACCACAGAACACAACTGTGGCCAGGCCCAAGTGAGGGGACAGTACTTGAAAGGGTGCCTGATGTATTTCCCTGACAATTTATTTTGATATTCAGCTGCTTGAAATGTAGTCGTTACTGTGCTTCTTCTGTAATGCTAAATAAAGGAAATATAGGAAACAACATAATGTGACCTGTGTGTTCAGGACCTGACATTTGTGGATACAGCACGAAGAAGGTTCACGTGATTTTCAACTACAAGGGCCAGAACTACCTCATTAAGAAAGACGTCAAATGCAAGGTAGCTATGGATTAGGCCTGATGAATGATGTCGATTTCTGTATTTAGTTAACATAAATTCAAAAAGGATTACTCTCTAACTTCTCCTCATTCCAGGATGATGAGCTGACCCACCTATACACACTGATCCTGAATCCAGACCAGACATACGAGGTAAAGATCGACAATGAGAAGGTGGAATCTGGCTCCTTGGAGGACGACTGGGACATGCTACCTCCGAAGAAGATTAAGGACCCTGAGGCCAAGAAGCCGACTGACTGGGATGACAGGGCCAAGATCGATGATCCCAGCGACTCCAAGCCTGAAGTAGGAAATCAGATCTTCACATATCATGACTTGGGTTTTCAGCTCAGTTATTTGAACAGTGTACAATATCTGAAACTCCTGCAACTTTTGAAACATACTCACTAGTATTCTCAGGCACAATGAGTATTAGTGATGAAAGCTAGTTCGCTAAGCTCAAAACTCATATCTTGCAAGAAAAGGCTACACTATAAACTACACTCCTGAGCATTTACAACAACACAATCAGGCTAATTTAGCTATCCGTATTCAGGGCTCAAGTCACATTACTGTTTTATTTTTTGCATCATGTCATAGCATCATATTTTTAGTGAGTAAGTGCTGATGTTTTCCAGGACTGGGACAAGCCAGAGACCATCCCAGACCCTGATGCCAAGAAACCTGATGACTGGGATGAGGACATGGATGGAGAATGGGAACCTCCCATGATCACCAACCCAGAGTATAAGGTACGGCTTGCATTGCTGAAGACATGACCTGGAGTTTTATAGATAAAAGGAATGATCACCAGTGTTCATGAGAAATTGAATGTCTGTTATATTCTGAAGGCATTACTTTTATCATGTAATAACCAGTGCCACCATTAGTCCTTATGTCGGTTATGACATCTTTGCAGGGTGAGTGGAAACCCAAGAAGATTGACAACCCTGACTACAAGGGAGCATGGGTCCACCCTGAGATAGACAATCCAGAGTACACTCATGAGCCCACCATGTACAAGTTTGACAACATTGGAGTACTGGGTCTGGATCTGTGGCAGGTAATGGTAACTACTCAACTATTTAGAGTTGTAATCACTAAATTATGATAACAGTATGTTCAGGCTTGTTTAATTCAAGTCAAAGTGGAAAGATCATGCACTACAGTTAAGTCAAGGAAAGTAGAATAGCAATTTCTTGAATTTTCTTGAATAAATAATGTTAACATGTTTGGTTTGTTTCTTCAAAGGTTAAATCTGGAACCATCTTTGACAACTTCCTGATCACTGATGATGTCAAAGAAGCAGAGGAGTTTGGGAAGGAAACCTGGGGAGCTACTAAGGTAGGACTGTAATATGTATGCATATAAGTACGTAGAGGCTAATAAACACCAAACAAAGCAGTATTTTAGTTCATATTTGATTTTTGTATAACCCTCTGAACACCAACACCCACTGGTAGTTTGAAATGCATGGTACCTTTTTTAAAATCACCAAAATGACTCAATTTATCAGCCAGCAACTATGAAAACAGTCTAAATCCAAAGAACCTTTGCATTTTCAATTTTTCGTTGGTCCTTGAACAAATATTTTGTGACCTGCTGTTCCATTAAGTAAAATTACCCAAATCTAAGCTAAAGTTGTGATATTTAATCCAAATCACTTTTTTCTCCATGTCTCATTTAATAATTTGCCAAAAAGAAATTGTTTGCACCTGTTAAAAAAAAAATAAAAAAAAAAATCTACATTGTCAGCACAACTGAGAAACCATGACTGATCAGCTGCAACCAACATTCACATTCTAAAAATTCAAGTACTTCTCAACTGAACTGCAGGCAGTGTTTACACAGAGCAGGTAGGAGACAAGTAGTGCAGTTTTTATAGGATGTCCATCCCCCATGTTTTTCCAGTATTTGCAACACCTGTGGGGACTTGTTGTGCATGTTAATTTCAGTTTTTTTCTCTCGCATTTAATAATAATAATAATTTTTAAAAAATAAATAAAAGAAAATTAAACATTTTTTCTTTTTTATGTTTTATGGTGCTCTGTGTCATACTATATCTTTTTTTTTTTTTTTGAGGCCTCCCTATATTCTAACTGTGTTTGTGCTGTTTCCACAGAAGTGGTACAGTACTTCATACTACAGTAAAAAAAAAAAAAAAAAAGCTCACAGTGAGAAGAAAATTAGATGGTAGCAAAAACCACTCAAAAACTATTCTATTAAAAAAACAAACAAACAAAAAAGAAAAATATTTAGTACTTAGAGGTGTTCATTTGGAAGTAAAGTCGCCCAAATTTCTTGCCTACGATTTTCACCACGCAGGGTTTGATTCCCAGTAGCAGGACTTATTTGCTTTTGTTTGTCAACAGTCATTGGAAGTGGGACTCCGGCTAGGGATCGCATCATTGTTTCTGCCCTACAGAATTACACTTGCTGTTCTGAACTAACTGGCACATCAGGACGTAATATTTGTTAGTCGTGACAACTGACAGTCCTGTCGCGTGTTGGGGAGGGGGTGTTCCAAATTTTGACAAAAGGGGGAAAGATGTGTCAGACACCACTGCAGGTCACTAGTGTAGGAAATGACAGTTAGGAGATAATGAGGAAAGAATTTTTATTATAGACATTTAGTTTTACAATTCATATTCAAGCACCTTGATCTTGCTGTTTACCTCCAGCTTCTCTAAATGGAGCTGGGGCTAAGTCTACTGTGATTGCTTTATGGCAAGAGCTGCTAATGGAGCAGTAAACCTCTGCAGGGAAGCAAAAATACCTTAAAATACCTTATTTCAATACTATTGAAGTACATACTGATTAAATGGTAATAACTGTCCTACTTATTACCAGCTGCGCTGAACTCTGCACAGGAACAGGTCTGAAAATGTAACACACATTGAATTCGGACAATAGTAAACAATACACATCCTCACTAATTGGTACCCGACCTCTTTCATTTCGGTGCCACATACCAAATGGGATCCCGTAAAATTTTTTACTGCCCCAAAGATATACTTGTTGTAGAAACATAAACCCATAGAAAGTACTTCATCGTCAAATTAGTAAACACGGAGACTGCTGAACTCACTACAGTGATGCATCATTATTGGGTCTCTCAGATCATGGCAGTGGATAAGGACTTTTGTCCCAATTCTACATCCTCATCTAGCTAAGTAGGGTCAAACATGGCCTACTTGAAAATGTTCTGTAACTTCAGAGATGTGATGGCTTGCTAGCGGACTATTCATAATCTAGCTCAGAAGGTGGTCTGTAAATGTATGAGACTAACAACTGATGTGATGATTATGTGAGCAGTCATATCTGAGCATCAGCTCTAGTCCACATGGTAGAATAGGTCGGCCGTTAAATGAAGATATGGTTCGATCTTGTGCTCAATCAAGAATTAAGCAGAGAAAATAGTTCTATTTGGAAGATAACCTTAAGTCTTGGAGTCAGTCCAATTCCACACTAGTTTCAGTTTGGACATCATCTTACCACAGTGCAACTCGTTAGCATGTGTTCAGACTGGGCATGCTTGACATAAATAGAATTTATGACTTTATAAAGTATTGTGCTGACAGTGGACAAACTAGTAACTTGATGTCAACACTCTTGTGATTCACGCCACTGTACAGGAATGCTGCCATTAAGCTTAAACTGTGTTCATGCTGCAGGTGCAATGCATTTTAGTCCATCACTTCTGTTCTTCATGTACAGCATAATGTGTTCATTAACCTAAACACTCGTCAAAAACATGATTCTAAATTGTCTTGTTTACCCACATAGGGACCAGAGAAGAAGATGAAGGAGGAGCAGGAGGACATGGAGAGGAAACTGAGGGAGGAGGAGGAGAAGAGCAAGAAAAAGGACACTGAAGGTGATGAGGAAGAGGAAGAGGAGGACGATGAGGAAGATGACGAGGAGGAGGGTGAGGAAGCAGATGGTAAGCATGATGAGGAGATGGAGGAGGACGCTGGGACAGAAGAGGAGGATATCAAAGAGAAGGATGAGTTGTAGAGGAGAGGAGCCGGTTGATGGACTGCTGTGTGCTCCTCTTCAATCTAACCACAGAAAATTGGCAAAAGCCCTTTGGACTCTGGCCTTTCATACAGCAGCCTTTTATTCAGGTGTAGGAATGGGGAAGGGGTGAAAGATGGGGTCAGGTCAGATATATTTTTTAATGATCCTCTTGTTGCTTTTTTAAACCTTCAAATTTGAGAAGGAGAAGGGTTTACATGTTTTTCCTTAAGTTTGTATGTCTGCTTTGGTTGCAAAATTTCTAATTTAAGGTGATTTACTGCACATTGCAGGTGTCATGGTGTGTGTGCATCCTGCAGTTACTCAGAGAGCCAATTCATGTTCATGTTTTTCCTTTGTGGGGATGTCCAGTAAATTGAGGGTGTGTGATGTCAGCTTTGTGCACTTTGATCTCTCTCATGCAATGTAGTACAGTTTGTTTTTGCAGTGACCCCTTCATAATTTATTCAGACATTACATTCATTGTGTCTGTGTGTGTGTCTGTGTGTGTGTGTGTGTGTGTGTGTGTGTGTGTGTGTCTGTCTCTGAATGAGTGACTTTATCTTGGGCGTACACTGTTTAAGTTTCAGTGAATAAAATGAAGCTTCTCTCAAAACATCATCGTCTGTTTTCAGTGGAAGTCGGACTTGTGGGTGACAGAATGCCCCTAGTTTTATATCACTGTGCTGTGAAGGGAATGATTCACTGGCGATAGAGTGGTGAACAAACAAGCATGTTATATGAATTCATTATTTTATTAGAATTGTTCATTCGGAATCCTTTTTTTTTTTTTTAACAGGGATGCTCGATAGATTTTTTTTGCTGTGCCAAAATGGAACCTGTGTTTCAGTACAGTGGCAACAACACAAACGTGACCCATATTTTACCCTCTGCCGCTTAATTTTTTATCATTACTTTTCAATAATCTGCTGCTTGTGACTCCCACAATGTAATTAGGGTGACCCTTAATGGACGAAAGCTGGTGATCTCTTAAAATACTGATTACTTATATTGGTTGTATATGTCTACAGGTAGTGGTAGAGACAAATTCAGATTTTTAAGATTATTTTTAGATACCTGAAGAAGTAAGACTATCCAGTAGAGATACGTTTTGGTCAGCAGAAATGTGTTTTTCATGTTTGCTTGTTCCCTTTATCACCTTGCTGCCCTTCAGATTCACTTTATGAAGCACTGCCCTTTGATAAACCCTGCTCATAAGGTTTTAATACCTGACATGTTTTACTTGAGGAAATTGGCCTCACAATACAGGGCTCATAATGAATTACATTCAGACATTGTAATAAGAAATGTATGCAGACAGCATACTGTACGGCTGGACCCGCTGTGCTGGAATCGGGATATCAATTTTGATCTCTGAAAAAATAGGCTCCAAAGAATAGCAGAACATCTGTCCACGCTGAGGAGGACTGTCCATAGAGATAAAAGATGAACATGCAAAGTAGTTCACAAAAACAAAAAATGTGAATATGAATTTCAGTGATATCACAGAGCCTACTCTCTCCTGTTGTATACTGTGTTGGGCCTCCGACGTGGATATTTCCGACAGCACCTGAACGCGGCACCCTGCCATACATGGCCTACGACAGCAGATGGCGTCCGTGTCCCGCCTGCTCCGCGGCACCTAGACCGCTGAGTCACACATACATCCAGACCCGATAGATACTGTGCGAAAAGAGCGGCTTCAGTCGAGAACACCGACTGCACTGTTTTTGAAAGCAGCTTCTCCCGTTCCTACATCGAAAGATGCTGACGATAACCCTGAAGACCCTCCAACAGCAGACGTTCAAAATAGAGATAGACCCAGAAGTGACGGTGAGTAGAAGTTAACGGGCTGAAGTAAACACGGTGAGGCCGGGAGGGCTCCCAGACAGGCTGAGCTACACGGTACTGCTGCCCAGTGAGAGGACATGGCCGGGGAAAGATACGCACTTCATCAAAAGACATAGTTCTTTCACGTATTTGAAAAAGTAACGTCGACCTGACAAATATGCTGGTAGTCAAGTTAGCAGGCACGCAGTAGTGGACAGGAGTTCATACGAGGTTATACAGCTGGAGTCAGCGCGCGGAAGAGCACACAGCCCTACCTTCAAAGTAAAAGTGCAACTGAATTACAATCGTGCCAAAGTACACGTCCCTGGTATCAGAACCACGGTGGAACGGGTTTCATTGACTAAATCGTGCTGTGTCAGTATTTCGTCTGAATTCAATGGCTTTCGTGGTAATCTTAAAAGGTTTTGTAGCCGCAGGAAGAATGTACTTTGAAAACAGAAAGCGGATGTATCATGTGAAGGGATGTTGGGCTTGACAGTGTTTGACTTGTTTCGGTATCTCGCCATGAATGACGGTGCAGTATTTTAAACCTCCTGTCCGCTAATGAACAAATAAGGAAACTCATTAGTAGATCTTTGTGAGACAGAAAACAAATCCTTTTGACGTTTTTTCCCCCTCATATTTTAACTTCCAACAAGTTTAAATATAGTGTTATTGAAGTAACAAGGTATCCTGCCAGTGTTCTCGCGTGAATTGCAATGACCATCATAGTCAGTGGCACGAAGTTGTATAAAACTGCTGCAAGTTCATTCATTTCTATACACCGCTTAATCCTCATTAGGGTCGCGGAGGGCTGGAGCCTATCCCATCCGACTTAGGGCGAAGGCAGGGGACACCCTGGACAGGTCGCCAGTCCATCGCAGGGCCACACTTAGAGACAGACAACCAAGCACACTCACATTCACACCTACGGACAATTTAGAATCACCAATTAACCTCAACATGTTTTTGGACTGTGTGGGAGGAAGCCGGAGAACCCGGAGAGACTGCTGCAAGTTGTTTTTGTAAAACAAAAAGATTAAACATCTTGTTCTAATGATAACTGTTACATGAGAAAAACAAAACAAAACAAAATGCTGGGCAAATATTCATGTACAGTATACAACAAAATGTGCAATCACATATGTTTTAAATTTCCACAAATTTCTCAAGAGATTTTTCAGACATTTTTTCAGACTATTTTTTGAACTGTTCTTTGTTGTAGGGGTTGTGTTGCTCTACCTTTTGCTTTAAAAAGCCAAAAAGTGTTCAAGTCAGATTACACACTTGGTCAAGTCCCGGTTTTCACCTTTTTGTTCTTTGAAAACTCCTGTGTGAATTTGGCAGCATGCTGTACATGTTATCATGCTGGAATATTTCCCTTTATTTCTGCAGCCTGGGAGTCATGTTATCAGCTATTGTTTTGGTATATCTTTAATGTTTGACCAAACAATATGCCCCCAATAGTGATCAGGTTTCTCTTCATGTTCTTTAGATAAGTTTCATTTTGCAAGTTCATACTGAGAACGAGGGTTGGTTTCAGGATGTCGTCCATAGAAGTTGGCTTTATATAGTATCCTTCTCACTTCCTGAGCTGTTGCATCTCTTCTTTCTATTTCTGCTATTCTTATTTATTGCTTACCTTGTTCTGTTTGCACCATCAGGTTAGAGCTGTATTTTGTTGTATTGGAACTTTGTGCAACAAAAAAAAAAAAACAAAACTGAATCTTGTCTGACCTAATATTCCCTGAAAAACATGCGCAACCTATACACTACTTAAAATGTGTTGTTTTTCCCCAAATATAGCAGTGCTGGTGTCAGTAGTTGTGGACATACAGTATTCACATCCTCCCATTAAAGAAGGAAAAATATCTTGTTGAACAATCCTTTGAGGCAATCAGTGCAATCAAGTGTTTTCTGTAACTCTCAATCAGACTTCTGCACCTGTTGACAGGTATTTTGATTTTGGCCCACTGCTCATCAGGAAAGTACTCTAATTTGTCTGGGACAGTTTTGTTTATTTTAAATTATTCTTTTCAACCTCAATTCAAAAGCAATGTCTTATTTCACTAAATTATAATTTAGCAATTTTTTAAATTATTTTTTCAGTTTCCAGTTATTTGAGTGACTATTGTTAATTTTGCCTTTTCTTTAATGGAAGGGTATGAATACATTTGAGGATGATTGTATTTGTCATACTGACACTGACAAAAAAAACAAAACAGTGATGTACAGAATATATGAAAAGTTTACTAACACTGTCAAGTTTTCCACATTTTTGTTGTATTTCAAACTCATTTTAAAATTAATTCAGTTCCTTTATTCACATCATTCTACACATCATTGTCCACAGTGGTGAAGCAAATGCACATTTTTGGAGTGCTTTATTTAAAAAAAAAAAAAAAAGCAAGCTTACCAAAACATGAATACTAAATATTAAAACATTAGCATAAGTGAGTCAGACAACCAACAAGATAAGAACAAAAATGTCTGCATAGGATACTCTGTGTAAAGAAATTAGTTTTAAAAAAAGGTCAGTCAGTCCACAGAACAAGGATGGTATGCTGTTTTATTTTACACAATATTAAATAAATAAATAATTCTAGAAAATAAATATATTAATCATAAATAAATATAGCAAAGAAATATAGCAAAGAAATAAATAATAAAATACAATAATTAAATTAATGTGTTTTTTTAAATTATATTTTTTAAAGGACTACGTTTATTTATTTTAGGGGATTTTATTCATAATGTCACATTTATTTATTGCAGGACTTCCTTTATAGCCATATTTATTTACTTTGTAGGAATATTTATTTCCCTGTGCATTTATTATTAACTTGTCATGAGTAGATGTTGTGACATTGTCTTTCTATTTAAAGTGTATCAACTTAGTGCCACGAGCCATTAGCCAGCTTCGTGTTATCTTGTTAGTGAAACATTTTCGACAGAAACTCGAATATGTAATCTGTCTAAACTGACTCAAGGCAGGTTGTGGGCTCAATGCTTACTTTCTAGAGAACATTAACCATTGAACATTAACACATTGCTGTAACATATGATGGTTAGGTGTTTCCGGTAACAACTATCAGGCCCTGATCTGCTGTAGTTTTTACTGACATGATGTAATGTAGAGTTGTTTCACTCTCAGGAATATTAATGCTTCATCTGTGGATGTTTGTCAGGTGAAAACCCTGAAGGAGAAAATAGAGGAGGACAGAGGAAAAGATGCATTTCCTTCAGCAGGACAGAAACTCATCTATGCAGGTGAGCCAGTGTGACAGAAACAAGTTAGGGACATAGAAAATGCTCTGTCTGTTCAATTGGCAGCTGTTTCCTAAAAATAATAAATGGGAACAACCCAGACATTTTCTCTGTCAAGTGTGTAGTCACCTTTCAAAATCATTGCTCAAGGTATATTTATATATATATTATACATATTTATAATTGTAACAGTGGCACTAATAATAATCATACACACTATGTAGATCAGTTGTATGAATTAAAGTCACTTTAATAGCCTTCTCTTAAGTGATAAAGGTGGGAGAGCATAGAAGATGATGACCTCTAAAAATAGCTGTCCAATCCTCATTAGTTTGCTAAAGTCACCTCAGCACTTAAACAGTAGTGAGAATTCTTGTCTTAAAAATGAATCAAGTAGGTAATTAGAAAATTATCTCTATCTATCTATCTATCTATCTATCTATCTATCTATCTATCTATCTATCTATCTATCTATCTATCTATCTATCTATCTATCTATCTATCTAT